TCAGTGCCCCAAGCCTGCTGCACTGGTCCTCAGGATCTGGGAGACAATGGGGTAACATTAGCCGTTCAGATGTTAGAAACAGAAAATTTTCAAATTAAATTTATGCAATTTGATCAATTTTGTGAAAAAGTCAACGAAGCTAATCGTAAGCCCGTTCGAAAGCTAAATGTTAAGTTCATGGTTCAACAGTGTGTTGTATTGCAACCACGATCGTTTCTACATCCATACTGTCTCCTATTGTCCCCTGGTTCAGGTTCGGGAATGATTGCAAGGAGGGGGAAGGTAGTACCTAAAATGGAAATTCCCCCAGCGCTCTCCCGACAAGGATAACATTGCGCGCTGAGTGATCTAGGAGTAGTTCCTCCGGCAACGAAACTAATCGTACGCAAGCTTCTCTATAAATTAATTCAAATTCCGTAGCTTATTGGTAAAATGGGGAATGTCGAAAGAAAACTGGAATATGATCATTGAATGTCGTAGCACACTGATCTCGTGAACTGATTGAATTTGATTTTGAAATTCAACGGCGTTTCCTGAACATGCCCTTGACGGGGATTGACGAAATAATAAGGTTCGTCTGAGGAAGGAGCGCAACGAACCATTTTAATTATTTCGTTTATAATGGCTTTTCTTTTTAATTGCAGCTCCGGTCGTACCCAGTATCTTCTACCTTTTGGCACAAAGAGGATGTAAGGAAAAGGAAGGTCGGAAGTTAAAAATTCCCAACGCTCCCCAACAAAGGTTAAATTGCGCGCTGAACCATCGAAGCATAGTTCCTCCAAAGTTAAGCTTATCGCTAGTAAATTTTCTCTATAAATTAGTCAAAATCCCATAGGTAAAAGAAAGAAAAGCTGAAAAATATTCACTGAACGTCGTAGCGCACTCTTTTCGTGAATCACTCGTAGTTCAAAAATACGATGGCAATTTTGGATAGACAAGTGATAGGGGAAAAAGGTATTAGCAAAGCTATGGGCAACGCTCTGATAATTCGTAAATTATCGCAAGGTTAAAAATGGCGTTATACTGGTACTTTGCTCAAGGAAATTCTCCGGCAGAATGAACCCAAATGAGGAAATTAGCACGTTTCCTGTAGTTGAATTTTCAGAGTTGCTCCTTTACTCTCATATCTCTGATTTCTTTATAAAATAGCTCAGCACAGCTAATTAAGCAAGGTCCAGCCGTAGGCAGGTGAGAGAGTGATGCGAGGTAACGACGTGGTAGGTGTGAAAGGTCAATCCTGACTAAGTTCCCTCTCCCCGATAATGTTGGTGTGAGGTGAGCACACCTAATTAAGCAAGGTCTACCCAGAGGCAGGTTACAGGGTGGTGCGAGATAACCACGGCGAGGAGGTGTGAAAGGTCAATCCTGACTAAGTTCCCTCTCTCCGCTTGGGTGTCTTCCCCATTGTAATTTGGCACCTTCCCCGATTTCCCTGGCCTTGGCACCTTTCCATCGCGTTTCCTGAAGGCATAGCACCTGAATGTTCCTGCGCGTCATCAGATCAGCAGCCTCTCGGGACCTCCCAGTCAGTGATCCTATGTTTAGAGTCCCTATTCGAACTAGTTTCTTTGGCCGAAGCCGTTCTCTTCTCGGTAGCCCTCGCATAGTGACCACAGAACTCGGGCGGGGGTTCTGCGCGCCACTTCCGGGTGACGTCCTAGCACTAACACTGATTCTTTTGCGACTTTTAGACATATTTGTTATGACGGGGGTCTTCATCAGCCGGCCTGTCAACCTGGGCCTGACGCTGGTACTAGAACCATTTTTGCAATTTTTGCAAGGCATGGTTTGCAGCCTCGGCAGGGATCGAACTCGCGGTTTTTCAGAGGTGCAGACATGAGTCTAACCTCTTAACCACTCGGCTATCCCTGCCCAAATATTGGACGAAAAGTATGAGCTATGTACGTAGGAATTGACTTTAAGAGTTGAGTATATCCCGCTCCCGCTGTACGCACCTTGGAGAGTTTTAAGGAAGGCTTGAGTGCATCCGTGGTGGAAGGTTCAATGACACTACCGGCCATCCAAGATGGTGTGGGTTGGCCCATCAAGGGGGAGGGTATCTTGTTTTGAAATTCATCCCGTGAGGTTTACCTCAGGTCGTGTCAATTACGCTAAAGAGCCTGTTCGGGAAGAATTCTGCATCCTTCCACTGTGAACAAGTAAAATGGAATTCAAATTTCATAATTAAGCTTTAAATTTACATCGAATTCGTGTGAATTTGAAGTTACGAATGTGTTATTCTTCCAGTGAAGGATGGAAAACAAAGAAGTAGCCTAGTTTTCTTCTCGCAAAGAGCCGAGACGTCCCCACAAAGAGAAGAACGTAATTACAGGATTGCCGAATTCTTGCTACAAGAATACCTTGGTGGCAATATCAATCTAACCGCGATACGTACAGTACGAGTACTGCGACCACTTCGAGCAGTGAATCGGATACCATCAATGAGGATCCTTGGTTGGTTTTGCATACTCGCTGCAGCTTCGATCGTCAGCGACTGGACACATGAGTGAGGGTTGAAGATTTGCTCTTGTGTCCAGTCGTTTACCTCCCTCACGTTTTGTAGCGCGATTCGTACCCAGGGCCTCTTTACTTGATGTTCGCTATAATTCACCAATCACAGACACCCACTGGATTCTTCAGAATGTTGTTACATGAATACCCTAAACAATAGCGCAAGCAGTATAAGATTCATTCGACTAATCTTTATCGTCCGGAGTTTTGCATCAGGTTTTAATCAAACGGTATGGAGTTCTGGCCTAAGATGAAAGTGTAGAACGGGACCGCTAGCAAAATAACGAAATTGTTTATCGAAAGCACGAAATTTGGGGTATGGGGGTTTCATTGTGAGGTTGCCACGGCGAGGAGACACCGGGTGCCGAGAAGAGACGGGCGCGAGCGTACAGGATGTGCTAGAATCGCAGGCAGTTTTCTGTCTCTACCTTTGCGTTGGGACTTATAGTTGCAGCTACCTGCGGTCAAGTAACAGGTCCCAGTGCTCGCTCATATCGCGCACTTTCAAACCGCAGGCGCATCGCAACGAGGTTTGCAAACTGGTTTGCGACACTCACAGAAAGCATTGATCTTCGTCATGGAACGTGCCTTTGAAGGCAGGGTTCACGATGGAGGGCAGCCCATGAAAAACCAAGGAAAAGATGGTTTGCTATGCAAGTGCGAAGAAAAAACCATGCGTAGCGGCCTAGTAGCCGAAAAATGGACCCCGCTATGCCCTTTGATTCCCTCATGAGTGACTCTCATCGTTGCTACCCTCTTTGAAGCTAACGCTCTCTCTACTAAACGACGAAAGGCGGACGGCGATGGGGTGGGCGGGCAGCGGCTCGAGCAGCTGGCCATGGCCCTATTAGATCACTGGGACGTATTCCTTGCTTCAAAACGTGCATCGTCCCGCATCCATAGGGGGCCCGGCTGTCACTCAACCATTCTTCAACCTTCAACCTGACTGTAGAATCTTCTCTGCGGACCGTGTGATGAAAATCACATGTATGCCTATTTTACAGTGAACCTTCTTCTCGACACACTGCCGATGTTGGGAAATGTTTTACTGTTGTGTTTCTTTGTGTTTTTCATTTTTGGAATTGTTGGCGTTCAGCTATGGGCGGGTCTATTGCGGTGAGCATATTTTATTTCTTCTTTTTTCTCTACTTTATTACATTCAAGCATATTTCATAGAGTACCAGTTTTTTCAGAAATCGATGTGTGATTAATTTACCAAAAACTATATCAGAAAATCAAACGGCACTATTCAATGATGTCAAATTAACCAGGTAAGTATTATTAAACCTTGAAGAATGAAGAAGCATACCTTGGTCTTAATGCCTTCTTCAGGTTCTATATTCCTGAGGATACCTCGCTAGAGTACATATGTAGCCATGCAGATGCAAACGGGTTGCACACCTGCTCCAATCTTCCGCCCTATACTGTAGATGGAGTAAAGTAAGACTTTAATGACCTTACACGAAGAATACCTGAGAGAGTGGCTGCATCTTTATATTAAATGTTTTCGTGCAAGTAGCTGGATTCTAAAATTGAGTACACCTGTTTGCAACCCATGTCAGGAAAATACGTCCTTATTCTTGATCGTCACACAACCTGGAATTCGAAAGAAATTATGATCCTCGAAAGAGGCAGGTGCAAATTTCATTGAGGTTTTATTTCATTGGGGCAGAAACATCTTGGAAAACGGGAACTACTTGCGCTCCCCGGAGTTTCTTCCCGTCCATATGTAACATTAATGTTTTCATACACAACCTTCACAGAGAGGGGTCGTATCCAAGATCCTCCGCAAGAGGGTCGCAAAAATTTCCAAACATTGTCAAAGGTAGGGTAGACTCTGGTCGAGAGGCAGCCCCAGCACACACCCAGCGCGCTAGAGGCGCTAGGGGGTGTGGCTTCGCCATTGAGTCCCTCAACTCCGCGTACCGGCCATAACAACCGCTGCCTCTGAAGCTCTCTATCGTCCATGCGTCAGAAGTACAGGTGGACTGATCCACGTGCGCTGGCATTCAATTCAAGGTGCTCTAGGCGTTCAACTTTCTGCTCTCGTCTACCGCGCAGCAGGCTGTTAGAGGCGGACCACCGTGACCTGTTCGGCTGGTGATAGTTATTAGGCCGAGAGTCTGCAACGAAAGCAGAGCAATGAGCTTAGTTTGAATTGAGTACTACGAATTTTCGGAATCCACGGCGATCCTTAGTTCCTCATTCCTAGTCAACGCCTGCAAATGGACGATATGCATAATTCCTGCTAAGCTGAGAAACTGTTGTTTAGGTGCAATTTAACTATAGACGACTATGATAAAGTTAGTGATAAAGCGTGTATCAACTGGAATATCTACTACAACGAGTGCCAGGTGAATTAAGTTTCGAGTTTCTTATTTATACGACATAGCTGAGCTAATCCGGCAAGCCTGGAGATCTGCAAATGATTGACGTTTAAAGGCACTTCGTTTCAGGTTATGCAACGGAACCCCTTTCAAGGCTCAGTGTCATTTGATAATATAGGATTCGCATGGGTAGCGATTTTTCTTGTAAGTTCACCTTTTACGTTTTATTTTTCTTACCAGAACATCCCAAGTTCAAGGATAGATCCTAAGCATATTTAAGGTGATATCGCTGGAGGGATGGACAGATATCATGTATTACGTCCAAGATGCCCACTCCTTTTGGAATTGGATTTATTTTGTTCTACTCATAGTTGTAAGTTTCAGTTAGTATTTTCATCGCGTTAGAAGAAATTCCGACTGCAGCAGCGCGGCGCTAGCGGCGTTGTTAATGGTATCTGCGCGGCACTTGCAGCGCGCGCCGCGGCGACGATAACTTATAATGCTGCCGCGCGCCGGCCTCCCGTCGCGATCTCCTGCCCCGCCGCTGATGTTATACAATATTGTCAAAGTTTTATATCATTCCTATGAAGGCTTCCATCGATATACTCCTCTTCCAAAAATAAATCTTGATTTGCATACTTTTAGATAGGTGCTTTCTTCATGATTAATTTGTGCCTTGTCGTAATAGCGACGCAGTTCGCTGAGACAAAGCGACGCGAAACAGAGCGAATGCTTCAAGAACGGAAGCGGTTACAGAATCGAAGCCCAGATTCTATATGTAAGTATGAATCAATAATCGATTTATTGAGTAATGCGGAGCGGAGAGGATATGAGCCACTGCTCAGCCATTTTTTGCAGCCGGAAGCGGTAGTGACGCAGGTGGCGCCTCGTCCAAAGAAGAAGGCGGCGATACGGTCTATGCAGCGATTGTTCGCTTTATCGGGCACACATTCCGAAAAACGAAGCGAACAATGAAGAGGGTTCGTTTTGGCTTTCAGTTGGTCACCTTCGTACCATTACTCGTCTGATCTTACACCTTTTTCAATGCCTGGACTGACTTGAATTTCTTAATACCATTTCTCAAAAGTTGGAATTTTTAAGGTCACGTTTACAAGGGCTGGGATGTGGGGACACGTTTGAGGCGTCATTAAGGGCGTTCGAACCAGGGTCGATATATGTTCGTGGGTCTATTTGCGTTATCTATTAGCGATTTTGGAAGCGAGGGTCATATTTGGGATCGACCAAGATTAACCATCTTGGAAAAGTGTTCATTGGAGCGATCGTGGCGTAAGAGGGGGTCGTTTTTGAGTGGTTTCTGCTGGATTAGGAAGATTCACGAGTGAAGTGTAATTTGAGGACTTGCCGTTCTTCTGACATACTTATCCCCTACACGCCCCTCCAAGCTTAAAGGCGTTTTGGAAGGAGAATTGGGCAGTTTTAGTTGGGAATATTAATTTGAACAATTCAGAAGTTCAATGCATATATGAAGGAGCGACGAGAGAAAAAAAAGACTGAAGCCAAAAAGAGGAGAAAATCAAAACTAGACGATATGGCGACATTGTCACGGATCGAGGAACGTACTGACGAAGAAGAGGGTAAGATTGTCTCGTGCTTTATGTGACTATTCTCTACCAACTTCAAAAGGTTCCTGCAGATCGTTCAGAATCGACTGTTGAGTATCACATTGCGGACCGCCGTTTTATGAGCACCTTTGTAGCTTTTTTATATTTTTCAAAAACGTATCATCATTAATCTATCAACAATTTTGCCAGTGATGACACGTATGGTTTCCAGGCTCTGAAAATGAGGCAACCAGTCCATGAGCATTGAAATATGTCAAATAAATCAGATTAAACCGTGATGTTTCGTGTGAAATCGTGCGCCACCATGTGGCGCACGCGGTACGCAATGTGGTATACTAGTACAAAACGTGTCCTGCTAGATATTATTGCTCTACTGCAATACCGGGTGAAGAGAGGTGTTAGTCGATCCTCTTGGCATTGCGCCACGCATTCTACGTGTTTCCATCCGAAATACTGTACATTTTAATGCGATACGGCAGAAGAACATGAGGACGACCGTTACACGGTTCTTTGTATTTATTCTCTAATGTATGGTACCGATCAACCAACTCCGGTGGGAAGAAGGGCTTGGTTAGCTTGGGTGGGACCCTCTGCTTGTGCATTGTAGAGGCCTTGCTTGCCTTTGGACCATGCTCGGCTCATGTGATTGCCTTGATTCCAGAAGTTGAACCGACGGACGCAGAGGAACCAGCAGTCACTGAAGAAAGAAGAGTGATAAGGAAGCGATCACGGCGTGTAACTATTGGAGAAGAGCAGGACAAAATAGGAAATGGTATTGTCCCAGTAATTCCAATTCATCAACTCTAAAAGACAATCGTAACACCACCAGCGGAATTTCGAAGAGTCAGGGTGCTCGAGTGAATCAAATTAAAATCGAGCGATATTTAGGTGAATCATGCGATTTTTTCAAAAAATGGTCATCGTTTGATCGCGTTTGTGAGTTTCTGGAAAAAAGTTAGTATACAAGTAGTGATTTGGTCCTTCTAGGCAAGTAAAGTGCTTGTAAGGGACTGAGGCTGAAAGCATCGAAAGCCCAAGCAGACTGAACAGCTACATATTATTGCATACGGAAATGGAGGGTACCCGACCGGAGGCTCGACGCGCAGCAAGAAGGTAGTCAGAGGATGAGTCGCAGCGTGATGTGCGTGTAGAACATACAATGGTACAATAGCTTGGCGAGATCACAATAGTACGCGCCGCAACTCATCCGCTGCCTCTACCTTGCTGCCGCGCGAGTGGCCTCCTGTCGGGCACCCGGAAATGGAGACAGTTATGGCTATTGCTCCATAAGTAACGTAAGAATGAAAAACCTATCAAAACTCCGCGAAATCACATAGCCGGCCAATCGTATAGGCGGGGTTTGCCTTAGCCCCCTAGGAAATCTCATCTGTTATAAAGGATTCCTGTGCCCCTTTTGCCGTGTTTCAGACCTCAGAGGAGCGGCCGACTAACGAGATATCTCCAAGGGAGGATCGCAAATACACCCATGCCATGCCCGCGCCGTGTGTCGAATATTTTTAGTAGTTTTTTTCTGCTTTCTTTCATTAGTGATGGACCATTTACCACGGGTGCTTCCATTTTCGCACGCAATAATCACCACTGAGTACCAGAATGTACCTTCGAATCCGAAATTCTCTGTGAACCGTGTTTGCGATAATCAACCATTTGCTAACAGGCTTTCTGTCTGGTGGCGACCAAAGGATACTTTTGTGATTGTTGAGGAGGAGTGGTGATGGGCGTAGTGGGGTCATATAAGGGAATGAAAAGAAGAATATCTGGTGAATTTGTTGAAGTTAGAAATATCTCAGAAATTCGGGATTCCATACTGTATGAACACTTGCTCCTCCTCCCATTCCCTCACCAGACAATTCTACACTCATTTTGGTTTTATTTTGAAGCTGCATCGCGTTTATTCAGGTTCCAAAATCCTATCGGCTACTGAGTATCGACTGATCACTGTTATTCATTCTATCATTCACCGCTCTCCCCCACTCTATCACTGCTATATAGTTACCTTACTTAAACCAAATTCAGGACATTTGGCACACAACCCAACTAGCGACGAGGGTTTCGCGACTGAAGAGGAATGGTCTGACAATGGCGAATGCAAGGTATGTGATTTGTTTCCGAAGAATTCCTCAAAATCGTATTTTATTAACGGAAAATTGGTCTGATCTGCGCACAGAAAACATGGAAATTCGTCACGCTACACTTCCGAATCATCCTTGAAAGATAAAATATTGTTGGGACGTGGGATTATTAGATTCAGTATAGCCTACTGATCGAATTTTGCAATTCCACTCAAAACTCACGATATACACGTAAGCAATTTGTGATTCGTTTGAACTCTTTCCCGTAGATGTCGCGTTTCTCAGCGTTTTACTGCAGTGTAGGATATGGGCAAGCCTAAGACGAAAATAGCTAAAGTGTAGGCAATGGAACGAGAAATTCTAGCCTGACGTCATATGTGAAATGGTTTTTCTTTTCGACGAAAATCCCCAGAGAGTGTGAGGGATGTCAGGAAGATTTTACCGTTCCCATTGTTGAAGATAATCCCCCTACCCTCCTCACTCAACCCTGCTATCTCTCTATCGGTGGGTTTTCGTTCTCAGAGAATAGGGACTTAGGGTAAAGAGAAGTAGGATGAGATTGGAGCAGAAGAAGTGGGGGAAGGAATTATCGTGGTCAATATATGTAGTGGAGGTGGTATCGTTGCGGGAATTTTCTGGACGCCATGACGACCCAGGTCCTATAACAAAGAGTTGCGTCTCTACGTTATCTGACCGGGGTGACTTTTATAGACGGCTATTCAACCGTTTACCTTACTAACATGAGAGAGATTTGTGGTGCTGCAGTAGGCCTAGTGAGCTAGTGCTGCATTAGATGAGAAAACCAAACGCAAAAATCATATCTTTTCTGGAAAAGGGCTAAATTTGCTTTTACTGCAATCCACTAAGAAGTGAATCTACGAATCTCTAACTTTCACCATATTATGCTACACTCATTTTTAGGATCTGAAGAAACAGCCACAACCGCAGTCTCGATGGCGATGGTTTCGTACGAAAGTTCGTCATTTCGTTGTTTGCGATCATTTTACTCGAGGGATTTTAGTAGCGATTCTGGTCAACACTCTCAGCATGGGTGTGGAGTATCATCAGCAGGTTTGCATTTTTAGGCGTTATTTTAACACATTGATGACGCTACGCGCTTAGTTTGACTAGCAGGAATGGGCCAAGTGCGATTTTGTGAGCGCGCCTGCTGCGTGACACATGCATACCGCAGCGTCCCGCACGGCCTATGAGAGCGGCATCTAGTTGTCACGAGCTGCCGTCAGTATGTCAAAGGCTGTAGTGCGCTGGAATGTTACTTAATTGTAAGTGTTTCAGCCGGAAATCCTCACTATCATTCTGGAATACTCCAATTTATTCTTTACGGGTCTTTTTGCATTTGAAATGCTTTTGAAGATTCTCGCCGATGGTCTTTTCGGCTATCTATCAGACGGATTCAATCTCTTCGATGGCGGAATCGTGGCGCTCAGGTTCGTTTTTTTTTCAATTCCCTTTGTAATTTAGTTCATGTTTGTCCCTTGTCAGATAAACTTCAAACGGTTCACTTTCAGCGTTCTGGAGTTATTCCAAGAGGGTAAAGGAGGACTGTCAGTGCTTCGCACTTTTCGATTGTTGCGAATTCTCAAATTAGTCCGATTTATGCCGGCTCTACGCTATCAACTTGTTGTGATGTTGAGAACAATGGATAATGTTACTGTATTCTTTGGTCTACTTGTACTATTCATTTTCATCTTCAGGTAAAGTAATATGATCACATGGGGCCGTGTCCATGAGCCATTGCATTGCGATGCGATGACCGGTGAAGGCGCAGTTCACGCCAGAGCGTCTAGTGGGGTGCTCTGAGGTGGACGTCGTAAGTCTGCTGTTGAACCGTGCGATAGATACAGGGTGGACCGATTGCCTCTGGGAGCCGAACGATGGGAGAATGGAGGTTGTTTCTTAGGTCCTGGGGTGATGCTTGATGTACAGTACCGTATTTGTGAGGATTTGGAAATCTTTTCAGCAGAATCGGGATGGGTAAGAATCTTGGGAATTTTGGTAAAATTTGCCGTTTCAAGGGTTTATATAATATTTACTCCTGACCCTGCTCAACACTTTTGGAGTTCTGAGGTGCTAGAACTGTGTCACGTTGAACTGGGTTTAAAGCAACAATCCAGGAACGAATTCGCGGGTAAGGACCACCTGTAATGACGTTGCAGGTGAGAGATTGGGTATCAATGGAGATAGAAAAAGTAGAAAAAAACGTCGGACAGGGGCTTAGACAGGGACTCCCGGCGTTTAGGGAGATGTGTGTGACGAGTTGTCCGAACCTGCCCGTAGTACATGCGCTCCAGTTGACTGCTGGCAAATAGCCATGCATGTTTGCAAATACATAACTATTTGCCAGCAATCGAAATTGAAGCGCTTCAATTGGGTTCTTATGGAATCGACTCATACAGCGCGGCGGTCCCCGCAACGACCGCTAGTCGAGCAAGCGCTCTGCACAGCGAATGTTGGGCGATCCGCTCTTTATGGGTGATCCGCCCCTCCAAGAGGACTTCGACCCCTTCCAGCGCATATTTAGAGGTAGTTTTAAATTAAAGACATTTCCTATAAACTTTATTTGGGCTGGCGGCATGTTTTGACCGCCTAATGACCAAGTAGTTGAAACCCTGCCTGGACTGTTGCTTTAAGAACATAATCATTCGCGACATCATCCATAGGATAATTAAGGTGTGTGGGGAAAAGGGGCGCATGTCTAGAAGTGGGCAGATGCCTCACTGGATGCCATCAGAATGGCTTTGAGCGATTGATCGTCTGAGGGCCCCCCACAGAGCACTCTTCCCACAGCTCCACAGCGATCATTGCCCATGCGGCTTGTCCCTCAAAGTGAATCCGCTCTTTCCTGATTTTCATCCTGCTGTGATAAGCTGCAAAACACTTTGAGCACATTTGAACTGTTTTTACTCTCTTCTAATTTCTTGCGAAGAAAATCACTTGTGGTCAGATGGATCACTTCTAATCCACTTTACATCCGTCTTATTGAAAACTTATATGCCTTCAAATTTCCTTATCTTTTCTATATTCCAATCCTATCATTAACACGTGATAACTAACTTTCTTAACACTTACAGCATCCTTGGTATGAATTTATTCGGGTGTAAATTCTGCAAGGTGGAGGAGCGTCTTCTTGGAGGTCCATCAAAGAAATGCGAGCGAAAGAATTTCGACACACTTCTTTGGGCGCTCATCACGGTGTTTCAAGTGAGCTTTACTTTTTAGCAGACTTCCTTTTCAAAATTACAAGGCAGTAGTCATTGCCCAGCCGCGACCATTGTTAGTTCTGGAGGCACAACTTGTGAGATTGTTTGCATATCCCTGGGATGTAGAAATTGAAGATCTGGGTACCCGACAGGAAGCCCGTCGAGCGGCAAGAGTGCACAGACGTAGACGCTTCAGCGGACAAGTCGCAGCTCGCACCGTGGTGATTTGGCCTCAACTTTGAAGAAATTTGCTATTGTACGTCGAACGTCAGAGCTCTAGACGCGCAGCGGGCTTCCTATTGGGTACCCTGGAAATCTTCTGATGCGTCGAATTTTAATTGGGGATTGTGGTCTCTTCAAGAGTGCTGGGTAAGGTATGCTGTGGTCAGCTCTGCTGGTAAAGTGTGTTGTGAACTTGCATGGGTTTGATTTATTAACCAGAAAGCAAACTTCTTCCTCAGAGCATCAGTGGAGGTATCAACCGACATGCTGTCATTAACATCGCTTTCGTGTCATACATATGTTGTGCTTGTGACTGTGGTTGTGCTTTTCAGTTGTCTAGGAATGGTTCTTTTTGGTTACAAGTTCTGTATTCACAACGAGACTGGATTGCAATGTACCTGCAAGCAGATATTCAACAATGAATGTTCTTGCGATCGCACGAACTTCGACACATTTCATCATGCGACAGTCACGGTATTCCAGGTGAGAGCGCTGCCCTCAAGGGTCTCATCGTTTGGCCAGGGTCAAGCGATTGCTGATGAAATCTCGGTGTGAAAGGCCTTGCATGTGACCTTAAAGGCATGGTCCGCGATTGAGTAGTAATGGTAGAAAGGTAATGAAACAAAGAAGGATTTTGCCTAGAACCCGTGAAATAAATGCTGCCCCACTTCTACGAGGCATCTAGTGGTTCACCCAATTTTTACCCGCATCAATGGCAAAGTCTAACCAACATGACCTTCGTCGGGGCGAGATGCGAATCCCGCCCATACGATCAGCGTGTAGGTTGATTTTAATTTTGGGATTGTGAGCAGTTTACAAGAATACTGGGTTATGAACAGAACTTCTTCCCAAAGCTGTACTAGAATTTCGTTTACAGGGCAAGTACTTCAAATATACCATGAAAATGGAGATGGAACGAAGCGGTGCTCTGTTAGCGTAACTTGTAGCGCACTTGCGCGTAAGCGAGAGGTACGGGTTCGAGTCTCGCGTGGGGCTAAAATTCTGTTCACAAGCCTGCATTCTTGCGAAGCATTCGCAACGAAAACTGCGGCGTTGAGACAATAGTTAACAAACAAAACAAGTTGTGAGCAGGGTTCTTGTTCTTCTGTTCATTAATGATGAACAAACAACCACAACCACGTTCCTGTTCAAAAGCAGTAACCCATAGCTGTTCAAGTGCGGTATGCGTCATTAATTGGGGATAATTGGGGATCGTATTGGGAACTTGGAAAGGGGAGAGGGAAGGAAGGGGGCTGGTGGTGCTTGTAGATGTCGCTGAACACTTTTTAACCTTTGTTTTGTTTGTTGTTAGTTGATGAAAAGGTCTTGAGAGGATTTTTTTGTGTATTCGCTGCAGTGGCCATCTTCGTTACCTTTTCCCCAGTTCAGAATTACGTGGGAGAGGAGAGGGTAACAGCTAGGTGATGCATAAAGCAGGAAACATTCCATGTCAATCAGTCCTTTGTCAAAATACCTCCAGTCGGAATAGGGCATAATGACTTCTTTTTTGAATTTCCTCACATTCGTGGCCTTCGCCTTCCGCAACAGTGTGAGCTGCCGCGCATGGTAACGCGCTGCACCGTGCAAGTTTAGATATCGATTGATTGCACGTTGACGACACACTGGCGCGCATGCACGTTAGAAATTCCGCACCGCATCGCACATTCTGACGCGCATGCGCGTTAGAACTATGTCATCCAGGTTTACTGTGCTTGCAATGCTCATCTCGGGTTTTTTGTATTCATACTATGGATAATACATTAGCATAATTATCCTCTTGTATATAAAGCAGCAGTTTGGTGTGTTTGTCTGTTTGTAACTAGGGGCTCGCACGCTACGTAGACCTAAGAAAACAGTTAAGACATGGTCCCGGGTGGGTAGGAAGCTGCCTCTTAGGTGTGTAGGGTGAAGGTAGAGCTTGGTTAGAAAGGGTATGTTAATGAGCGGGGCCCGGTCAGGTGGGCGGAGCTTGCGCTGTAATCTCCTCAGAAAACACAGGTTTTTGTGCAGAGGCCCCGAATTGCTAAACAAATCGCAACATTGATCGGGTAGTGTCGTAGGAGTTAGATTTTGGATCGATTACAGGGTATCGATCGATATCGATTGAAAATATCGGTTTTTGCGCAGAGTGCTCGAACATGGTTCGGAATCATACTACTGATTGATGGCTGCAGTAGTAGTGGAAATCCCAATGAGTCACATGCTGTCGATCGATATCAATGGAATATATCAGTTTTTGCGCAGAGTGCTCGAGTAAGGTTGGGAATCACACTATTAATTGATGGCTGACACTCCCTCAGAGAACGCTCCACCCACAAGGGGCGGGCCTCCCAGATTCGACTTTTAAACCCAGTGCACACCTTTACACTTTTTTTTCGGCGTTTTGGCTACACCGCTACCCAAACTTGAATTTTGCCGTCGGTTGGTCCTACCTCGACGCATGCCCCGCTCACTGTGGGCGGAGTTTCCCATGGTCCGTGTCTGCCCCTGTAGCCACTTATTCTCTACCCATCCCGAACTTGACCTGGACCCTGATGGTGGTTCCTTAGATAGTATTTAATTTTTTTCAAGTAGACACACAAAGGCTCAGCCCTCTATATCCCCTCTATCCTCTTATATACAGTGCGTTTCAAAAGTATGTGCACACCCTCAAAATTCACGTTTGAAAGGGAACTATAAGGTTTCGTGCTATGAAATTCCTCTCAATCTATTTCTCGTAGTCGATAACCTATCAATGGAAGCAAAACAGATAATATCACCTCACTTCCGGGAAAATTTTTTGGATGAAATTTTTTTCTTTGTTTTAAAAGTATGTGCACACTTGCAGAAGATCAGATTTTGGCGCCGAATTTTTTACCGATTTCAATCCGACTTTGCTGCTTTCACTTCGTCATCATGTCAGTTCGCGCCATACTTCTTCCTGAAGATGAGCAAGCTCAGATCAAGGTTCTGCATGATAATGAACGTTCCAATCTAGAAATCGCACGATAACTTGGTCGTTCTCCTTTGCATTCGAAGATTTATCTGGCACCGTGATAGTAATACTCAGCACACACTCCGCTTCATCCACGATCCTTGACTGGTCAGAACAACAAAAGAGTAGCCCACATCCTGTCTTATTCTTCATTGACAGTCCGAGCTCGGATCTTTATTCCAACCTCGAAAATGATCACTAAGCCCCTCATCCGCTCAAATGAATACACTATTCGACAGAAACTGAGAAAGGCTACTCAATTCAAGGCCCAGCACAAGTTAGCCACATTGGAGTCTGCTCGTACAGACGTGGCAACATAGGATAGGACACCAGGCGAATACACCTTTTTCGAGAATTTCCTATTTTCAAAACAAGCAACTTTTTATGGACTTTCTCTCCTCAGGTAATCTTAACTCATGGAAAGAGCTCGATGTTGACGGGCTGGAAGGATTTTGCTACTACTGGAGAGGCTTGGTCATGAGTCGCTCGTGCTCTCGAGAAGGAATTTCAGAAGAAGCCTGTTGATGGATCTGCGGCGGTTTCGCAATCAGCGGAAATTCAGAAGTTGCCGTTCCATTACTGCGTATGAACTGTAAAGAATACCAAGCAGTGCTCCAATGTCACCTGTTGCCCTTCCTTAGCGAAGCGGAGCGAAAATTGCATTTTTAGCAACAGGACCACGTGTCTTTCGATGCTTCGCAATCTACAAAAGAATGGCCTTAACCAAATGGTGCTGAAGTGATAGATTGGCTTGTGTGTCCTCCTTACTGCAACCCTATAGGGAGCCCTTGATCAAGGCGTTAACTTTAGCAACCGGTAGTATAATACCGCGGATGAACTGAAGGTGGCGATAGAGGCTATTTGGGCCGACAGCGACGAAACACCTATGCCAAACGGGTTAAGATTATGCCAGCCAAGATGTTTGAGCTAATTAGAAACTCTTAAGGCCCAGGTGTTTTCTAATCTCACATCAGCTACGTTTTTGTCTTTTGTTAAGTGTGCACATACTTTTGAAACAAAGAAAAAAAAATTTCATCCGGAACTTTTTTCCAAAAGTGAAGCGATATTATCTGCTTTGCTTCCATTGGAAGGTTATCAACTACGAGAAATCGATTGAAAAGTATTTAAAAGCCCGAGCCCACATGGTGGCCTTTGAAACGCGAATTTTGAGGGTGTGCACATACTTTTGAAACGCACTGTATAAAGCAGCAGTTTGACGTGTTTGTCTGTTTGTAACCACTAGGGGGGGAGGGGGGGGAACGGGAATACCCCACTTCCCCATTCAGTCCTTCACCCCAAAATATATAGGAACAACTCCGTTTCCTTACCACCTCCTCAAATTCGAGCCTCTTCTCGAACTTTCAACCTTCACCAACTCCAAGTACGGCTTCTCCCGAATAACTCAAATACCACTCTCCTAATTGAGAGCTACGAAACGCACGTTTACCCTGCCACGAAAATCCATCCTCTCTAGCCGTGTCTCGCGCGCGGTATCGTGCGCAGCTAAACTGGTATATAATGCGCTAAGTCTGTCTGTCTGTCTGTCACGAAATTCCGTATTAAGCGGACATCAACCTACTGGGTCCAGGTCAAGCTTGGGATGGGTGTACCACATTTCGAGAAGTAAAAAAACATACATTACTTAGGCGGAGCCCCGCCCACAGTGGGCGTGGCGTGCGTCGAAATGAGTGGTACTGAGGACCATGATTTCAAATTCAATCACAAAACAGCCTTGAGACCGGGGACAAAATTGGGTATAGGTGTGCGTTGGTAAGCCAGATTGAAATGTGGAGACCCACTCTCTGCGGTGCTCAGTGAAAATGTTCATAACTTGGTTAAGAAGAAGCCTACAGACCAGAAACGAAATTAGTGCAGGGGAGCAATGCCTAAGGTATTTCCTGCACGCATGATGTGAACGGAGGCCTGCCCACAATGGGCGGAGCGTGTCGTGAAGCGGACATCGTTTTCTACAAGAGCTCATAAATCGGCTCCGGGATGACTTAGAGACCGGAAAACAGCGAGTAGAGGTCAGGAGGGGAAGGGAAGCTAGATGTCAGGGACGGGCGTGGCTTACATCAAAGTGGGCGGAGTTTGCAATTAGGCTTATAACTCGGTTCCTAGGAGCCCCGGAGTCCCGGAAAAAGGTGTATAAGGGTTGGCAGAGGGAAAGGGGTCAACCGTTGTTGGCGGGCGGAGCATGCACCAAAGTGGGCTGGGTTTGTTGGTACTTCATAACTCGGTTCCAACAAGTTTCGGAGATGGGAAAAAAGTAGAAAAAGGTTGGGGAAGAGATTATAATCAATTGATATCAGTGGGCGACCCATGCATCAAAGTGGGTTTGCCACAAATATACCTAGCTCGGTTTCGTTCCCTACAAGTCCTCATAATTCTGATCCGAGACGACTTAGAGACCTGAAAAAACGTGGATAGTAGTGAGAGGAGGAGTAGAGGTTGAATGTGAACGCTAGGCGTGGCACACCCCGAAGTGGGCGGAGTTCGCCACCACATTCATAACTCGGTTCTTAGAAGCCCCAACGCCCGGGAATAAAGTGGATAAGGGTTGCTGGAGGGAAAGGGGTTAAATACTATTGGTGAGCTAAGTGTGCACCAAAGTGGGCGGAGTTATGCAGAAACATTATTACACGGTTCCAAGAAGTCTTGAACACCAGGAATAAGGTATAGAGGTCAGCGAAGGAAATGAAGTTTCAGTGGGCAGGACGCGCAAAAGTGGGCCGGGTTACCCATGAATTTTGAAAGAGGAGTGTCTCCAAAGCAGCCGTACCTTGGAATCTCACTCAGCAGTTCTGTAGTAATAGAGAGAGAACATTGCTTACAGACACAATTTTTCAGCCTTACCATCCGAAAAAAAAACCCTAACTTGGAAGAAAGACCCTCTCCGGAACCGCCTTTCGTTGGCTTACTCAGCAGCTCTGCAGTAATTGAGGGAGAGCATTGCCCACAGACACAATTTCTCAACTACAAAACCTTCTCAAAAATTGAAAAACATACCATGCCCTGAAAAAACGCTCTCCGAAACCATCGTCCCTAGGAATCTCACTCAGGAGCTCTGCAGTGATAGTGAGAGAACATTGGTCACAGACACAAATTTTCAGGCTCACCACCTTCCGAAAAAAACCCTGTCTCGAAAGAAAGACGCTCTCCGAAACCGTCGTCCCTTGAAATCTTACTCAGCAGTTCTGCAGTAAACGAGAGGCAAGATTGCCCACAGACAGGATTTCTCAACTACAAAACCTTCTCAAAAATTGAAAAACATACCATGCCCTGAAAAAAGACCTTCAAAACCGCCGTCGCTTGGAATTGTCGTTTTCGTTCGCACCTAGAGAATGGGTACTGTGTTTTGATCGATTCTGTCTGAAACACGTACCTCAATGCGGTGTAGGAGATAGAAAATATAGTGTGACCTAACAGTCTGTGTAGGTGGGATGTACCGAACAGAAAACTAAAATCTAGATAAGAATAGTGGTCATCCCGTTTGAACCCCCGTGTGACGCACCCGAATGCGTGCGCAGCCAAACTGGTGAAAGCATAAAGGTTAACTATATATTATGTTGGAACAGTTGAAATGTCGCTTCCGTTTATGCCTTTGTTTCCCAGCTTAAACACATCTTAGGATGTGATAGCATTTATTCGAGAGAGTGATTCAACACGCATGTTGCAAAATATTAGGCGCCACTGAGTGGATCTTCTTCAGGCCAAAACTTTTGCTTGAAGATGACTGATCAGAAACCATCGTCAGAGAGTATGTATTCAAGCAACGGAAAACAGCCAACGAATCCCACTCATTGTTGCAAAACATTGAACAGTAACACTTAGTCTTTTGTGCACTTCCAACTATGGTTCCAGCTCTTCCAATACTAAGGTAAAGGACCTGAGGACGAAGATCGTGGATTTTGACCTCCAGCTTTAGATGACGGAGAAATAAAGAAAGGCAACTAATTGAGACCTCAATAAACCGCACAAAACTTGCGTTGAGATTCAGTTGTGTCAACAGTAAGATTTGAAAGCTCCTGCGTGCGACTGTGCAGGCCTTTCAGGATAGATAATGGTTTTGGCCTACTGTGAGCGACGCGACCAAGCAGTACTGGCTACCAATACTGGAACTTCGCTCCATAACTTTAAGAGCAAAATCTTGACTTTGTGTTGACCGCATTTTACAAAGAGATGTTTCCCAATAACAACGCGAGAAGAGGACCGTAGTCGGCAGCCGATGGACGGCTGAGGGTGACTTCAAAGTCAGACATCCACGGAAACAAAGTCATGTTTTTATGTAGTGATACAGTATAGCAACGGTATAATGCTGATTGTTTGCTGTACGGTTACAGGTGAATTCTGCGTATAACAGCTCCACCACATGGGCCGAGCTCCGCGTCGTCAAAGGGTAATTTCGGCCATTGAAAAATTATGGCACGATAATGCAAGACCACATGTCTCGAAAATCTCGCAACAAGACATCGAGGAGTTGGGCTGGGACGCCCTACCTCCGGCGACATATGGCCCAGGTCTGGCGCAGTCCGACAATCACTGACCCAGGTCAGCGCAACACTCCTTAGCAGCAAAACAATTCGATAACCGCGACGACGTCAAAATTTGAGTGCCCAACTTCTTCGAGTCCAACCATAAAGGGATCTGCGCCGTAGGCATCCATGCTTTGGCATAACGAAAGGTGATGAGCTTGTGACACAGGTGAAGGAGATAGGTTCAGTTGATGTGGTTCATTGTCGTTTTTATAATGAAAACAAATTGTGATCGAAAAACGACATTTCAACTGTTTCAACCTAATAAATGCAGTAGACTTTTGTTTAAAAGAGCGCATAATGACCACGACGAAGTAAAAAAAATCACTCTCGCTGCGAATGAAATTAAAAGCATTTTGTCTAAGTTTTTTGCCATCAAACACAAGTATCTTGGAACTCACAGAGCTTTGTGCTAACTGCTCTCTACGATCTTTCATGAATGTTAACGACAGCGAATACTAGAAGAATTGAAATGAAAGTTTTGTGTATCATCGAAAATCTCTGCTAAATCAAAGGATATTTAAACACTCTTGGCTGCAAGGGGATAGTAGGGATCATTGGCGAAATGATCCTATGAGATTCAAGTGTTGCGCCTCTAAAAAAATGAGCGGACAGTAAGGTGAGGACGGCGCGCACCGCTAAATCGCTCCCGTCTCACGCGGTGCAAAATGCCAAAACACGCGATCCGTCAATGTGTTAACAGACGTGGCCATTGGCAGCGTTTGTCGTGCAGTGTAAACAAGAGTTGGCGCCTAGAGAGTTAGTGTGCCTTCTGAAAGCTCGCTTTTGTCTGACAAGTTTTCTTAATAAAACTCTTTCAGTTCAGAATGAACCTTTCTCGAACATTGAAATTTGAGTGTTGTTTTGAGCAGATACATTTGTTCAGATCCTAACACAAGAAGACTGGAACATGGTGTTATTCAATGGAATGGCACAGACAAATCCATGGGCCGCCCTCTACTTTGTAGCTCTAATGACCTTCGGAAACTATGTGCTGTTCAATTTACTAGTTGCCATTTTGGTTGAAGGATTTCAAGAAAGTAAAGAGGAAGAGAAGCGGCAACAGGTACAGTATTTGATTTTGCCAGAAAACTTAGTTTCCCTGCCTCTCACCTTTTGAAGTGAATTACATCGTTCTAAAAAGTAAGTATTTCATTCAAGCATAACAGGAATGTATCCGTCATTGAAACAGGCGAGGTGATTGGAGCAGATTAATATTGCTGCATCGGTGACACCCTGTTCACCGTCACCGATTTTTTTTTCAGGGCCGTCGCCACGCGTGCTTCTGCTGTTCTGCAAAAACAGACGTGCACGTGGCGATGGTCGTCAAAAAATCGATATGTATGCTTTCGCATGCTGTTGATCATCACCGTTCGTTTTGAACATGTTCATTATGAGTTTCGCAATCCAGGAAGAAGACGCAAAAAAGAAAGCTAAAGAGGAAGAGGACGAACGAAAAAAGGAGCTGGAACTTCTACTAGCAAGATCTACTTCACCGGCTTTTTTGAACGGTACACAAGGTGCTGATTGCACTTGCATTTATCCCAAGCCGGCGACTCCACTACAGGAAGATAATCAGGTGATATTGATCATTTTCTTGACATCAAATATGTCAAGATTGAAAAATCTTAAGTTTGAGGCTCTTTCTGTGGAAAATCGTTACGAAAAGGAGCCCATCTCGAAAGGTGATGATCGACGAATTCTGCCGAATTCTGACCGAAGTGTTGTTCTCGCGCACCACTCGTCACCACTACAAAACAACTATTCCGATCGAAGCAGTAAACGGTAACTAGTTTTGCCTCCGTTAGGTTTGTAACTTTGAAATATCGCTTCCTTTTGTATCTTTGCTTCTCAGCGAAAACACAACCTTGTGATACGGGAGATCATTATTCCGAAAGCGATTCAGCACGCATATTGGGATATCTTAGCGCCAGTGAGATGATGTTCTTCGAGCCAAAACGTTTGCTCGAAAATGATTGATCAGAAAACATTGTGTGAACGTACATATTCAAGCAAAGCAAAACTGCCAACGAATCTTGCTCACTGGGTGCAAAATATTGAGCAGCAACACCTAGTCTCTGAGTATTTCCAGCTATGGTTTCAGCTCTTTCAAGATTGAGTTAAAGGACTCTAGGACGGCTAGCGTGGATATTGAACTGTAGTTGTAGAAATGAAGAATTAAAGAAGTTCAACCAATGGAGCTCTCGTCAATCTACACAGAAAATCTCAGGACGATTTGGCTGTGCCAACAGTAAAATTAGAAAGTTTCTACGTGTGACTGATAAGGTCTTTCAGGTTAGAAATTGGGTACGGTCTCGAGCAGTACTGGGGCCAATACTGGAACTCTCTCGAATAACTCCAAGAGAAAGAAGACTCTAGACTTCGATGTAAACGCAGTTATCAATAGGATGTTCCCCGATAACAAAATCAGAAGATGGCCGTGGTTGGCAGCAGATGGACAGCTGAGGATGACCCCGACACTGGACGTTTACGGAAAAAGTCCTCCTTGTTCATGATGAAACAGTATAGGGCTGGCCTATTATGGAGTGTTGCTTGTTGGTTATACAGTTACAAGTGAACCCTGCGCACATCTCCCAGCCCGCGTTGGCCAAGCGCTGCGTTGTCAAGTGAGAAATCCGGCCATTATAAAACTATGGTACCACAACGCAGGACCACATGTCGCGAAAATTACGCTACAAAAATCGGGATTGAGCTAGAACGTTCTACTTTCTGCGCCATATAGCACTGGTCTGGCGCCGTCCATCCGTCATTGAGCCAGGTCAATGCCGCGCTCATTAGCAGCGAATTAACCCAATAATCCCAACAACGTCAGAATTTGAGTACCTAACTTCTTCGAGTCGTACTTGAAAGAGTTCTACGAGGTAGGCCTCCATGCTTTGCGTAATAAAAGGTGAAGAGTGATTGAATACATGGAGGAAATTGTTCAAGTTAATGTGCTTTGGTACGGCTTTTATACTTACAATAATCGTTGATCAAAAACGACGTTTCAAAGTTACCAAACTATATTAAGGAGAGACATTTTGGTGCAATAGTCCGTGCAGATTACGGCTAAGCCCATTTTGGAGTGGAAAAGGTGCTCCGAGCAGGGTGAATATCGCTCGAAGAAATCCTCGACAGGGGGTCGTACATGTCGGGCTGGGTCATAGGGGGGTCGTACTCTTGGGAGTCAGTAACAGCAGCGGTATCGTGGTGCAGATAGGTAAGAGGGTATAGCGCAGCAGGAAATGAAAATATCTGAAAAAAACATGATATTGAATTTTCTTCGCAGGTTCAGTCGCTCCATTCCTCCACTTTCATGAGAAGGGCGTATTCGGAGGCAGTACAAAGAACGGAAGTGCATCCCTGCAAAGAAGACTGCCACATTTGCCCACGCGCTTCAAAGGCACCTCCCCTGCCTATCGCTCGCTCCGTCTCCCTTAATACCTCGCTTAGAATGACACTGTTGTTAGGACCCTATCGCAAAAACGACAACCGTGAGAGGAAAATCCTGGGAAAATGAAGTGTTTTTTAGGTTGTAAGAGTTACGGAATGCGTTTACTAACAATGCAGCTTCTGTCAGACTGTTCATGTTCATATGACACCTTCGAAACGATTCTGCAACTTCGAGTGAGGTCGCGATGCATGGCCTATACTCAGACAAAATTCGATGGTCACGGTTGCTCCTTTTCTATGCTTATGTTGGGAGGATGTTTTCTAGACCCATTTCAAGCGTTGCCAACAATTACAGGTTGCAATGGTGAAGGAGGGAGCGGATTTTCAGGTGGCCGGATCCGTCCTCGATACATACTGCGAGCAGATATCTTCTCAACTGGAAATCTAGAAGAAAGCCAAAAGACCATCAGAAAGCGCAAACCTTCCGCTTTCCAAAACTATCTTCCCTTTCTCAGGACTTACGACATTAGAGAGATATTGCTTTTAAAGTGGCAAAAACTAGCATGAAAATTCCAGCGTCCTCGACGTTTACTCGACTAATTTGAGAGGACCCTACCTTTCTGCATGAAGGCTTTCAGAGCAATTTCAATACTCCTTGGAAACGCGAAATCCAGCTCTATCTAACCCTACCTCAAACTGCTTTCAAAGGTTACGAAATGGAGAAATGCAACCTTTCATCGAGGGTGGTAGATTTGGACTTTTTTTCGGGGTTTCAGCAAATCTGACCCAGTGACAATCGCACCGCAGCGGCCATTGGTTGATACACTCGGCTGTTTCGATATACTCAAGCAAATAGCGGAAATAAGATTATCGCAGACCCCGGCCTTCAGGATTTCTGTGCATTTCTGAACGAACTTGACTTTGAGGTCAAACAAAGTTAATTGCCTCTTTCCTCGAATCGATATTTCAGTAAATACACAAAAGTGTGCAGCGATAAAAGACAGTGCACAGGTGACAAGAAGAGGCATCCATAACATTATTTTGCAGGATTTTTGTTGATTTATTTTGCAGGATTTATTTTGATTAATAAATTGAATTAATTTGCTCTGCTTTGGGGAGGGGGTCGTGCCAGGATCTCGATTTCGGAGGGGGGTCGTACTTCTGCGACCACGTACTCGACACGATTTTCACCCTGGCTCTGAGGCAATGGAACCAATTCCATTCTGTGAAAAAAATTGAGATTAAGAAAAAATAAAAAAGATAAAAAAATTAAGGCAATTAATAGAGTATTGTTTCCGCTTAGGTTAACAATAAAAGACCATTTTGTCCAGATTTTGGTGTGTCGGGCTCTTTGCCGAACGCCCCTCCCCGGTGATATAGACTCTGGATTTTTTTATTGATTGGCGTAGACTAGTTATTGACTGCACTCGCTCCATATTAAGGGGTCAGAGCTTCAGCTTGAATCGACATACTTCGCTCGTGCTTTGTGGACAGAACGGTGGTCCAACTCATCGCCAACGTATTCATAGTTGGAGTGGACTGTGTCAGCATTACAACCCTCACTGTCCTATCCATGGGCGAAGAGCATTGCTTGAAACCTATGCTCGTGAGAAATTCATTGAGGTTAGCGATTCACGTTTCAAAAATGTTGGGTACCCGACAAGAGACCCGTCGCGCGGCGAGAGGGCGGAAACACAGACGGGTCAGCACGAGTCGCAACACGTGGACTGCAGCCATTACCGTCTAGTTTATGGAATGTACTATGGTACGTCTTCCATCTCATAGACACACTGTGACTCGTCCGCTGACCCGTCTGCGTCTCCGCCTTCTCGTCGCGCGACAGGCTTCCTGTCAGGCACCCAAAAATGTTATTTCTGCACACATCTATTTCTTGGGTCATTGATTACATCGTTTGGCTGACACAGCTCGTAGAATTTCATTTCGTTTGGTTTTCTCGTCAAACATGCATGTTTGCATGTTTCGTTTGCGATATGAGGAAGGACGAATACTGCAGTTGCTAGGTTTCTGTTCTACTTCCATACCACCTTCGGTGTTTAGGCAAGCCAAGAACTGAAGCAAGCTCTGGCAGAGGAAGAGCGACGAAATGAACAGAAGCAAAACACGTGCTTTCGAAAATTCTTGCGAAAGACCTGTCTTTACAAGAAGGCCGAATATTCTCTGTTCTGCTTTGGTCCGAAGAATCCGTTTCGTATAAGGTACAACTCATTGTACGGTCACCACAAGCAGTCTCAGCGGATCTTATGATTCAGGTGCTTGCAACTGACTCAGAAGAAGTGGTTTGATTATTCCATATTGGTTTTCATCGGTATCAACTGCATCACCTTGGCCATGGAGCGCCCTTCTATACCGCCTCAGAGCCTCGAGAGAAAGTTTCTGACGTTCTCTGGTTACGTCTTCACAATAATATTCTCGCTTGAAATGGCTATGAAGGTACAGTTTTACACTTTCAGAATGTTTCTTTCTCTCAGAATAGAAAGGAGCTTGTGGAGTTTCAAAAGAATCTTTCTGTACTACGTATTACTCAACCATCAGGTGATTGCCAATGGTTGTGTGCTGGGTCGAGGCGCGTATTTCAAAGACGGCTGGAATATTCTTGACGGAATTTTGGTAATCATTTCATTGGTGAACGTTTTATTCGAGCTGTTTGCTACAGGTGGTAAGTTTTGCCTCTCGAAGAAAATGTATTGCCTTTCGACCCAAAATTCTAGATACCCATATCGAACCATGAATTTTATGTTGATGAATGTAAAAGTTAGCTAGGAAAAAAATAAAATTTGTCGGTGTCGGAAAGAAGAATGCCAAGTACAGTTCTCCAAATTTTTTAGTGGGTCATTTTCATGAAATCTTTCTGGCCGTAGAGTGAACGAGTTCTGTTGTTGTTGTATCTACTAATTCTTGGTGTTAAGCTTCATTCAGAATTTGTAGATGAAGGGGTTCTCATGATTCAGTCTCCCCCACAAATTGATGGCTTGGAAATTATCCTCCAAATTATCCTCCAGAGCAAAAAGAGAGAGGCATGGCGTTCGTTGTGTTAAAAAACCTTGAAGAATAACTGACTAGGAGGGTCTTTCAGGGTGTGCCAAGTTTTTTCAAAACGGTTTTTTGCATGAGATAGAGGCACATGCGGGAACCACAGAACCATGGGTAATTTTTTCTAGACGGCCCTCTGAATACCAGAAAAGAGGGGTCCCTTGTCACACCTTCTTCGCCAGTTTTTCAATTAAAGTCTGTTTGTAAGGGTTACTAACGTTCCTAATCATGTATTTGGTACCAATTACTCATGCTAACTCCATTTTCGCAAATTTGGAAACGCCAGAAATGCAACTTGTCATCACGAGGAATCGAACTAGGGACCCCTTTTTGTTCTTTAGAGAGCCGTTCAGGAAAAATGAACCATGCTTTTATGGTCCTCATATGTGCCCCAATGTCATGCAAGAAACCATTTTGAAAGAGCTTGGCACACCCTGAACGACCTCCCTTGTGAGAGAATTACTGCTTGTTCAAATGTTCGCTGTGAAACTGTCATGAATGCAAAGACAGGCGGAGAATTCCTTTTGGGCGTTATCGCAAGATATATAAGCATTGTGATGGCTATTTAAAACCGAGTTGAACATCTCCTTGTTAGAAATGAGACTTGCGATGAGCCTTAAACATGGGAAGAGTGGCTCCAAGGTGCGTAAGCCATTTTCATTTTCCCCGGAGTTCATGCCCCCTCCTAGGTTCAGTCTTGAAGGATGTCTCAATATTGCGGTAGCGCTTTCACTTGTTTCTTTGGGTGTTGTCCTTAGAAAATCTTTTGCCTACTCACCAACGGCAGCAACACCATTGCCCTTAAACTTGCATCTATCCTACGAAGTTGGAGGCTTTAGTACGTCCCTTACGACGGCGTTTTGCGCTATACGGGGCTCTACTCACCACGCACTTAGTCCTTGCCCCCCTCCCAGGGCTCCACCTGCGTAGACCGTCTCTTGACGGTCTACGCAGGGTACTTCTCGAAGAGCTCTTTCTTTTTGGAATCTAATTTTCATGCATGAAAAATCATACGTTATCTTCACTGACCATGCATGATGCGGGTAAGGAATACAGCGATTCGTCGTGTTTATGCCTTTAGGTTTTTCATAAGGTTTTGCGTCTGTTCTGCGCACACTATTTAATTTTGCATAGGTTCCTTGATACTACACCACAAGCACTGTTTGCCATCTATTTTTGACCTTAGGCTTCGGTGTTGTCTCTGATTCACCACACCTGCGACAATTAGTCGTGTGGAGAACTGTGATAATGGAACCAGAGACAACTATTTTCACCAGGATTAAAGCAATGATTTCCATTCATCACTAAGGCTGCTGTCAGCTTCGGTGACATATGGTATAAAGAATCTTCTTCTTCTTCTTGAACCGACGAATTATACTCATAAGATTTCTATTCCGAGTGGCCATCATTCGTCGCTGAACATTTGAAAGTAAAAATCTAGCGAACCGACATTCATTCAAAAACCCAATGTATGACATGCAAAAGTTTGATTTGGCTTGCACATCACCCCTTCATCCCTGAATTTTATCATTTACGTATTATGAATTCAAGTGTTTTCAGACTCCCCTAAGATCTTTGGTGTAATTCGAGTGCTGCGCTTACTCCGAGCCCTTCGGCCGTTGCGTGTCATCAATCGTGCGCCAGGTGTCAAACTCGTTGTCATGACTTTGATATCAAGGTAATTACTTACCAAATCAAAATATTAAGAAGAAGTCCATCAGATCTATAATTACTTAATACTTTCTCATTCGCTGCGTAGATGAAATTCACAAAAGTAACGTACATATGCTTGATCCTTGAGCCTGTTGAAGGCTCCAGGTTTCGAGAAATGGGATCGTATTGAGGCTATAAACACTTGCTCATTACAACCTTGTGAAAATTGCTGGAGAATACTCGTAATTCAATACAAACCCTGGTGGTGTGGAAGGATGTGCCAGTGTAACCCTGTTGTTCAGGAATAGCAGTCGCTACAGCATGCTTGCACTGCGCTTAAGTCGCACTTACGGAGCCAAATCCAGTACACTCCGCCAACTCTACGACCCCGCCTATACTTCCCAATTTTCTTCCCACATTTTTGTTGCGTTTGTAAGTACTCACACCACTATCTTTTGGATCTGTAGGTATGGCGACAGAGCGCTTTGTATGATGTCATTAGTGGAAGTAGAGCAGTGGTAAGGGCTAGAACTAATGAAGGCACAACCGGAGACAGAGCGCTGGAACGCGATGGGTGGGGGTTATGAGACAATCCGTGAAAGGGGTTTGAATTTCGCCTAAACAGTATACTGACTTAGCAACAATATTCGTCGAAATGGAAATAAGTAAAAGCAGGTAAACCCCTGAATTCCAACATATGTCTCTTTTTTGCAGTTTGAAGCCAATCGGAAACATTGTGCTTATCTGTTGTACCTTCTTCATCATTTTTGGGATTCTTGGTGTGCAACTTTTCAAGGTGGGTCTATCTATAATATATACGTGCTATTTGAATAGCATTTTGAGTTTTTTTCAAATTTTGATTATTGTGGACTTTTGGCATGTTGTATGCACGAGAATGTACACCCCCCCCCCCTTAGTAGATCTCTCAATTTCTGCAATCAGTTTAAGGACGACAAAGACCGATTCAGCAAGAGATGCTATGTGTTTACATGAGTAGTACACCCTTTCGGCGTTATTCAAAAATGTGTACTACTAGAGGCGGCCCATCTCAGGAATGATAGCGCCCTGCAGCACCAAGTTTGCGTTAATGCGCACCGAAAACGAAAACAGCCCTTTATCATCTTTTTTCGTTCTTATGAGATCCTGAAACACATCTCCGTTCAGTAATTTCTAAGACCTCCTTGTTGGGAGTTTTCCAGCGGACAGTTGCCCTTTTGCAGAGTGTTTGTCTTCCAACGAAATCACGGTATGGAATTTAGGTGGAGCCCTTGTCGCCGCTCATTTCTACAGCCTTCCTGGAATGTTACAGCAACACCCTAAAAAGCAGCTTGCTTCCTGCAAGAAAGGCGAGAAGTAGACAAGCCATCAGCCCCAGAAGGGACTTATTGACTACATTGGGGGACTTCTCCATTTGATTCAAAGAGAAACTTGCTTAGCATTTTGAAGCATTTCAATATTTTTGGAAAACAAGCATCATTCTTATGCATCAACGGGGGGGGGGGAGGTTCAGATGCCACTGTCATCCTCCAAGTCCTTGAAAGTATATCTAGGACCTTACATCATCAAGAGGAATCCGGGAAGTTGTTTTTTGGAGCCTAGGAAGACTGACTTGATTCAATTATTAAAAAGATTTGGGGTTAAAAGTGAAGGAGAAGTTAGGGAAAACGCTAGGCATTTAGTTAAGGACGAGTGCAAAAATGACCAATTTCAGGGCATGATGTTCCACTGTGTTGGGCCAGATATAGCTAATGTCACCAACAGAGCAGACTGCCTAGAAGATCCACGTAATAAATGGGTTAATCACCGCTATAACTTCGACAACTTGGGACAGGTCTGTTTCACAAACCCTACTTTTGAAATACTCTATACTTCACATTTGCCCATGTTTGGTATGATGATTTAGGCCCTAATGTCACTGTTTGTGTTGTCAAGCAAGGATGGTTGGGTTTCTATCATGTATCAAGGAATCGACGCAGTAGGCGTGGATATTCAGGTGGGCTATGTGATCTTACTGAAATATCAGGTAACCCTAGGTTACCGCTAACGCTACCTTGTACTCACAAAGGCGCTAAGTTCACATAAATATATAGTCTCTGCATACGTCATTACTGCTAACCACTTGAATTCCACAACAATTATAGAGCGGTACCGTTTTAACTATGGTTAGTGGTTTTGGATGAATTCACGCTGGAAAGGCAACCCATTTCAAATTAACTTAGCGATGTTGAGTGGTACACTAAAGAAGGAAAAACCATGAGAAACGGCCCAGAACCCAAAAAATGGGACCCCTTCCTTGCGCGTTGATTCGAGCATTTATGCGACTCTCATCATTAAGCCGTTTAGACAGAGCGATCACCCGAAGTAAAGCGTGAATTATAATGTTCTGCAATAATCACATACAACGCGCGACGCATTGGCGCGCTGAAGTGCGTGCTCGCCTCCCACTAGAGAGAGAATATGTCGAGCCAACCCGCCAGCTATACTGAGCGCCGTTTATGTAGGAGGTGGAGGATGGCACGCATGCCAGAGTGGCCTCACGTCTAGTCTAGCGCGGCAACGCTGACGCTTATCTATTTTGGATTGCCGCCCAGCGAGGGTAGCCTCGTTGTGAGCACAACCTACAGGTGTCATAGCGGAATTCGGACCCACCGCCAGACAAACCATTAATTTTAGCCGATCGAGAACTATAATGAGTGGCGGATGATTTACTTCATATCGTTTTTACTGCTTGTTGGGTTCTTCGTACTGAACATGTTCGTCGGAGTTGTAGTCGAGAACTTCCATAAATGCAAAGAAGCTCTGGAAAAGGTTTGTTGATGACCTGAAGCTATGAAGGTTCATCTTGGTGTCTCAAATAATAATATCAACCTGTCTAAGGAAATGCGCGAAAAAGCTCGAGAAAAGCGGCTTCAGCGAAAGCTGAAACGTCAAAAGTACGAAGAGAGCGTGGCAGGAAGGAAGAAGAAAGGTATGTAATTTTATAAGCACTTTTAGCGAAGCTTCAGTGCACAAAATAGTGGACTGGCTTCTGATAAGAAATTTCAGTGCTCGGAATTTGCTCGGGTAGACCTATTCCCTAGGTATTATTCACCTTGTCCTCTGAGAGAGAACAACGATGTCGCCATTAGCAGCACTGCTTCTCCCTTGATGCAAGATCAATGCAAAGAGCAGCACCAGTACCAGAGCGAGTAAAATTTTGGCTCATCTGTCATGTTGGGCCGATTTATAAACCATTCAAGTGGTCTCCTTGATAGGTTTCAGAGTTGTTAAGTTAGGTTCTAGTTAATAGGCTTTTTCTTCAAGGTCTCCCATTAAAGGGGGAGAACTGCATGAACGGCAATAATCATGAATTCTTCGAAATTCCCTATTCCGGGATAATGTTTCCAACTTCACAAAAATTCTTTCCCCAGGTTTTCTGAAAATAACTTGGACGGCCATTATGTTAAGGTTATGACTTTGGTCTGCCTCCTCTCTCCTAGCTTATTGTTAACTTTTCTCATTGCTCTTGAAACAAATATTTTTTCAATAACCATTACCTCCGCTTATTTTATTCGGTACAAGTGCGACTTTTTTTGGTCCGAATATTGCTTTCAGAGAACCGTGTCTTTAGCCCTCAGCTGTCTGGAACTTGTGCGTCAAGTTACATACTTCCTCGCGCTCGCATTGTAGGGTACCCGACAGGAGGCCCGTCACGCGGCGAGAAGACAGAGACGCAGACGGGTCAGCAGACGGGTCGCAGCGCGCGTTGAGTGATGTGGGGCGTCCTAAGCGCATCCTATCTAACTTGGCCTAAAATCACAATGGTACGCGCTGAGACTCGTCTGCTGACCTGTTTGCTTCTCTGCCTTCTTGTCGCACGTCAGGCTCTTGTCATGTACCTCGCTAATAAAAATTAGGTTTCTCGAAATGTTATATCCCATTTCCGATTGAGCTCTGGAATCTACGGATCTCTTCCAATAAGTAACCTGTTCACTGCGACCTAATACCGCGAAGTCAACTGGCGCTCAGCGGCCCCGTTGGACTGTGTTTACCATTTTTAATGTCCACCTGAAGTTGATTCATGATCGTAGTACATGAAAGTAATAAATTATCAGTTGACTCTGATGTCATTGAAAAAAAGCGCATAGTTCTCGAAGCCACAGTTTCAGTGAAGAAAAACCAGCCCTATTGGCACAACTATGGAACGACGAGAATGTTCTTGAACGGTGTCGTGACGTCCAAGTATTTCGATCTCGCCATAGCAGCAGTCATCGGTGAGTAGCATATCAATGTTGTTTACTACGTTTGTTACTAATTATGTCGAATAAATTTGGATATTTATCTATTTCCCCTTACTCAGGCATCAATGTAATTTCGATGGCCATGGAGTTTTACATGATGCCACCCGGGCTAAAGTACGTGCTAAAAGCTCTAAACTACTTCTTCACCGCTGTGTTCACCCTGGAAGCAGCAATGAAACTAGCTGCTCTTGGAATCAGGCGATTTTTCTCTGAGACGTGGAATCGTCTTGATATGTTCATCGTCTTCCTCTCAGTAGCCGGCATAATATTCGAGGAATTTGAAGCGCTAGAACTACCCATAAACCCGACCATAATTCGGGTTATGAGAGTGCTGAGGATCGCACGAGGTTAGCTTTCGAATCATACCAAATTAGAAATCGTGAAGGAGTTAAGTAATTATCGAGTTCATACTGATGTTCCACGAGTTTCAGTACTGAAACTGCTCAAAATGGCAAAAGGAATACGATCTCTGCTGGATACAGTGGGAGAAGCGCTGCCTCAGGTATTTTCTCTTCTATCATATTTACTCCAATTTTTGTTGATAAATCAGAATAACTCCTTTCTCGGCATCAAGTGGAAACGGTCCCATGTGTAAAAATATTTTGATCTGATATAAAAAGCAATAGATAAGCTGATTCGATCACGCATTGGAAATGAATGTAGGTGCTAAGTGCCGCTGTGGAGAAAACCAAGAAAAAGAGCTCCACTTCCGCGAAATAAGAGTCTTTTCCGTCTATTGATTTTGGCGCTGCACGATATTCAGCGATAGTCAGCGTTTTACGTGAACATATAGCTTGCCTCTCTGCTGAGTTTGAAGGGCTGACAGGCAGAAACGGCGGCTAGATCGGGTTATTGCAGGCGAATGCAGTCCAAGAGCGCAGTTTGCCCAGACACACCGTCCGAGAGCATGACACCCTTCGTTTTTAACTTGCATGGAGCTTTTTTCAAACTCGCTTCGCTTTGAGGGTTGAAGTTGTCGAGAATCTGACGAAGAAGTTCAAATTTACACGTAAATTTCCACTCTTTGGAGCTCCATAACTCCTCCAACGGCAGTGAGCATAGGAGCTGCAGATGTTTTGTATATTCTGTGGTTCTCGGGTAGCTTCATCGAGGAAGTATCGAAGAAGCCTGACTACCTTAAAATCAATGAAATTCTAGGTCTGCTACGATTTTCGGCGACCTCATTTAAACCCTAAAAATGCTAGACTTGTAGGCTCGATGGGATGAATAAGAATTGATACGCTCGGCATAGATCCATTTCTTTTTGGTATGCGCCATGTTATGATCGGATTCAAAGTCATTCGAGAGGTGTTGCGTCTACACGACAACTCCCTGGTGAAAACCAAGTGTTCTTGGTCTAAATATCTATAACGACTCCTCCGTAGTACAGCCTCGTCATTTCCTTGATTAATACTTCCGACTCTCGTCCTGTGTATGACGCGCGGCTGCAGTGTGTGATGGTATCATGAGAGTGAGCTGTGGATTTTTGCGTTTCACCCCCCCCCCTATGTTTCAAGGCGTAATCGTTATCTCTGTTGCATTCATAGACAGAAAATTGGTCTCAGCTTTGCACAGAGACAACCCGTGAAGCGCGCGACAGCCGTTCGAAATGGCCAGGCCATGCCAAATTGTAGACAATTTAATAAGGATGGATACTACAGCTAAATTTAGAGTAAGTGTTCACTGCGTACACCATCCGCCTCTTCTTGGAGAGACGCATTTCCTCTCACGTCATACTGATCACCACGAACCGATCGAACAAGCGCTTTCCATTTGAACTTTGATTTCAAACAGTTTTTAAATATTATTTGTCTTAGTATAACTAAGGCCTTAGTGATGCAGTGAGTGCAGCAGCACCGCTGCGTCAGTTCTTGATGCTTACCCTGAACCACTCAGCTCCTATCGGTTCAAATGCGCCCCTGTCGATGACTCTTGACTGTTGTTCACCTTGCGCAAACGGGTGACGGGGTCACTCAAGTTTTAGCTCGTTTCTCGTAGGGGGAGGGGTAGGGGAGTATAGGACGAGGGCCAACTACCGATGAAGAGTAGTCCGGAACTCTCCTAGCAGCCTAAACACTTTGCATTGCTCTTGGATCACTTAAGTTCCAGCTCGCTTCTTATCGGAGCCAATTAAAGGGATCTTATACGGAAAAACATTCCGTGGAAGACACTCCTACGAAAAACGATACCTTAGTCCCCTTGCTTCATGAGGATAGCAAAAAGAACGGAACATTGGTGATGGTTCTGATAATAATTATGATAACCAGTTCGACTATGAAAATTTTGAATTCCCGCTGTAAAACTTCCACAACTGTTAGCGGCGTGGAGTCAACACATGGAAACGTGTCAAAAGCGTGAATGTGAACTGGATTCATGTTGGGCCTTTCCCAAGGGGACGGTCAATTCAATCGTCGGCTAATGAGGCCACGCCGCTCCAGCGAGAATTGTCGCGCGCGGAAGTTGGTGCTGCGATTTCTGTGTGGACCTTTTCTTAGCTGTCCATGTCCATGTTGACTAGGTGACTGACAAGAGCAGAGTGCTGGACATCAGTAAGCCAACAAGCGTCACTGTGAGATCCCTGCGGTGATTTAAGCATCACAGTACAAAGGTTGTAGCGTGTAGAGGTATTCCTTTTGGCTTTCATTTGACTTCTTTATTAATAATCAGCTTCCTGAATTTCTATCAGGGAGTGATAATCCGGTCCAATAGCAAAGAATATCACGTGTCAAGACACAGAGTATCGGTGAGGAAGGCTCTAACACATGATAAGTATGTAATAATGGCGAGCGAGAACGCATTTTAAAAGGTAGGCTGGATGCCGACTCCAATGTTTGGATGCTGAGTTCTTTGCGAAATCGCCGCGATATCGCAGGCTGCGGCGGGTGGCCGGGTGGCGCGGCGGCCTATTTACTGCCACGATTGAATTGTCACGCACCCCCTTTTTCCATAAGCCGACACGTGGATCCGCACCTGCCACGCACTTCGTCACAGAAGCACTTCCGGTCCCGCCTACTGGTCCAATCCGGTCCGCAGATGGATCCTTCCAAGGGCTGTGTCTCTTGGGGGTTTCATCATTTTCGCTCCGGGCTTTGCATATGGTCTTCAATGACCATGCCCAACACCTGTACACAAGGAAAGGGTGAGCAGTCTTTCCGTGGAAGATTCCTTTAACTACTGATCTTTAGTATAAAGTCATCAAATGTCTCCCTCCCTAATCATGTTTTCAACGGTGGTCACAGCTTGTTCCCGAGACTATTGCAAATGCATCTCATTGTTTCTGATACAAGGGTAACTCAATTATATTACAGGTTGGCAACCTCGGTTCGCTTTTCTTTCTGCTGTTCTTCATTTTCGCCGCTCTTGGGGTAGAGCTCTTTGGGAAGCTCGGTGGGTTTTTCTACATCATTTACATAGACTTCTATCATCTGCTCAGATACTGTGGTCAGTTGCAGAATGTTCTGAAGATCACCCATGTGACGGTCTGGGTGAACATGCTCATTTCAAGAATTTCGGTATGGCTTTCCTGACTCTCTTTCGAATCGCCACTGGTGATAACTGGAATGGAATTATGAAGGTGAGAAATAATTGTGTGCTTGAGAACATTCGGTACGGTAATTGGGTTTTGGTGAGAAACCAAGGTGATGGCCCCATATGATCCGGAAGTGAAGCAAAAGGCGAAAGAAAAAAAAAGCCAAAAATGCGCAGAGTAAACTATTATACATCTGGCTGCTGATTTCTGAAGTGTGAGCGTTTTTATAATGGGAGGTGAGAGTGAGACGAGCAGAGACAATGAGATAGGCGATAGAGGCAGACACCTGTACAGCGCAGTGCACCGCATGACTCGTCATGTGGGTGGGGATTGTCGATTTCGCAAGTTCTGAATCATACTTGGAGTTGATTTAATGCGCCTTTTGCAGCGGAAATGCAGTATAGTTTTCGCTAATTTTTCTACACTTTAGCAGTGTTCTCGCGATTTATATGGTCGTGTTATATGTAAAGCCAAATGATCATGCTCACTGCCCTTAACCTGATTAAAAGGCTAAAAGTGTGCCACATTGTTTGGAACAAGTAAAGTGTACGTTTTGAGAGGGCGATTTTATCGTTCAGGACGCTCTTCGAGATGATTGTGACTCATCAGAACGTTGTGAAACCAACTGCTGTGTAGATCCCATCCTAGCGCCGTGCTTCTTCGTCATTTTCGTGTTGATTTCTCAGTTTGTGCTGGTAAATGTCGTCGTTGCTGTTCTCATGAAACATCTAGAAGAGAGTAATAAACGTGATGCGGAAACGAACGACGCACAGGATGGAGGCACAGGTACAGCCGATTTTACTAACTAGATGAGATTCTTTGGTGGGGTGATGGCAAATCCAATTCTTTAAAATTTGACTTTGGTATCGGAACAAATTTCCAACACCATGTCTGGAAACTCGTCCATAACGGTCTTATGAAGGCACGGTCCTTATTGGGAAGATCTAGGCACCGCCAGCAGCTTGATGGCTGTAGGCGGGGAAGGGTTTGAGCAAAAACTAACTTCGACATCTGATTTTTGTGTTGCCTCCCACTGTTCTTTGGCTTGAACGATTCTGAACCACATTTTTGAGGGGGGGGGGAGGGAAGGGGAGTGTTCACATAATGAACGGACAGCAGTGCGAACCAAGTTCTTTGCGTTTGTGACGTCGTGGGCATAAACATGCAGTCATCCCGGCATATACATAGTTAATAGAATAAAAGATCAGCTGTCATGCACTAAAGGCGAAGCAATGGCTTATTCGTAATTTTCGTAATTTATGCCCTTAGAGCCTTGTAATCGTAGATGACCCGTTTACAGTAAGAACCCTGAATTATTTGAAGCTAGACAGGACTAAAATCAGCAACAACCACATTTTCGCTTGCACATCCTTAACGAATTTTCAGGTACCGATCCTGCAAAGGATACGGACCTCGACGAAGGGAACGCTGAAAAAGAAATTTCGATAAATACACTCGAGCAAGAACTAATCGAGGTGGAGCATCGGATAGAGGAAGAGATTAGGCGACGAGAAAGTGTTGGCTGTCATGGTCATTTAGAAGCAGAACTTCAACCGCTTTATGTTAACAGCGACACATACAGAGGTAAGCAAGGCAGTGACTACGACATGTGAAGGGTAGAGCGACTTGATGACGTCACTGGCGAGCCAGATTACTTGGCGCGTTGAGGGTTTGGTGGGCTCCTAACGCCCTTCGACCAACGACGCTCAATGATATCATCAAAACCTCACTCTCCTCTCTCCTCTCTCTCTCTCTTCCAGCTATCGTGTACACTATCTTTGAGCGAATTCTGTTCCTCTTCAGAGGATGACGGCGATTACGACGAGAATCTATCTGCAGAGCGCTCAGCGAAGGAGTTTGCAAAGTAAGTTTACAAAGTGGAATGCATCGATTATTTTAAATTCGTTGGATATGTTGGCTGAGCTCCCGCGCCATTTGTGCAAAGCAACCTTGCGTCGTTGTTCATTGTTCTGAAGTCCTTTCCCCAAACGCTGCCGCTATGGCTCTGCCTCCTTGGCAATGTGCTATGCTCCTAATCCGTGCAAGATTTCATCCACTATATCGCTCCCATGACTTATCCTGGTAGCTGTATGTAGTCGTTGAAAGAAGGAAGCTGTTGTTATTGGTAGAAGATTCCCTTGGAATGCGCCCTGCATTCACCTCTATCTAAACGTAGAAGGGTTATTTACGGCTGGTACGACAGAAGACTACAAATGTTGCAGTTAAGGAAGTATGTTTTCAGCTCCGAACTCAGTGTCATAGTGCAGCGGGGTCCATCGTCGGTCTGGCCGAATCAGATGGGAGGGCTGGTTTTTATTACTCTGGGATGTTCTACTCATTATTCAATTTGTGCGACATAAATATGGTGTTAAATCAAGCGAAAAAGGTTGAGCATGTTAGCGTTAGATTTGAGAAGAACGATGAATCCCAAAGAACTCCCGTTGTAGCGTTTTCTTTTCATGTGGAAGAAGAACAGCAACTGTCAAAATGCCGATTTCTGCCGCCTGAGCTTTCCAACTTCTAACCAATACCGAAAACCGTTGTAATTATTAAAAAAGGGATAAATATTTTGTAAAGCGGAAAAAGTACTTTGAAATGATGTACGCTGTTTCCGGGTAGTAAATTCAATATTATATTTGGCGCGGTGTCAAGAATAATCGCGCAGTCCCTGAACGATTCACGAGATTGATTTCACCAAAGCTCAATTCACTTTTAATCTCTTGTGTCTCTTGCCAGACACGTTTCGGCGAGGGGGGGGGGGAAGAAAAAGAAAATATTGAGCTGAAAAATAAATTATCAGCGTCTCATTTGACAAGCCAAATAGTTATGCATTTCTAGAAGATATTTCGTTGTGTGGCGCAGTTCTACGAAGGTGTAAGAGTCATTCAGGTTATTGAGACTCTGAACTTTGGGCTCTTCATGAAAAAGTGAGGGTTGAGTATGTAGGCCACAACATGCTGCTGCATCGTTAAATACTTTTCAAATCCCTAAATTTGAATTTGTGGGATCAAACCGGTTGGAAATAAACTTGTGGATGCCGAATTTATAAAAAAAAATGAAAAAAGAAGTAAGGAAAACGGCCTATGAAGCCTGAAACTAAAACCACTGGAAAAAGAGGCGGGGCCAGACGGGTTGTCCGAAATTGCCTCCTCCACGGCTCAACCAACCCGCGCGTATTAAACCCATAACGGACGGCGTGCGCCACATGGTGGCGCACGCAAAAACACACTGGTCGTCCGTTATGGGTTAAATTAGACGGTGCGCCGCTATCCACATTGCGTGTCATGGGATGTGCGCTGCATAACTCGTGCGAATGCTAACACTGGTTGCCTAGTTCTGACTTTGTTAAACCCTAGTGCCATTGCCACGCACTTTGAAGCTGCGACAACGGCACATTTGTGCCTCGTGGGTTACTTTATTCCACTCGTGCTCGCCGTGGTCAAACCTGTGGCAGGGTACGACATCTTTTTTGGCCTGACTTTGTTAAAGCGCAACACCTCTGCCTAACGCGCTGCAGCCATCTTTATTCCCTTGTTCTTTTGCACGTCAGTGTCCCATGTTTAAGCTTAACAGATTGACGACGGCGCGGGTTTTGGCTTTTTCGCCGCTTAAGACCTGAACAATTTAGCTGGCACGATTTGCCTGATGCGCAAGTGCGTCAGCTCGTCCCACGAGGTGCGTTTTTAAAGCTCTACTGAAAATTAGCGAAACAAGAGTACAACGCTAGTGGGGGAGGAGGAGCTTCCGGCGAAGAGCACGTCGCTTGTCTTTACCATCTTAACAGTATGGATATTCTGATCTTAGTTAATATCGATATTAGTGAAGACATCAGTGGAAAATATGGAATCAGGAGTCCGGGGAGAATAGCCAGTTCGGAGGATGGGAGGCAGTTGCTGGGGTGATTTGAATGACATGCATGAAAAGCTGAAATGTGCATATTCGCACTATCTCTTCAGATGAACGACTTCAAATTGGAAGTGATCGAATCACTGCTGAACGTTGAGCGTAAACACTTTTCGAGTCAGTTGCTTCTCACGCGACATGTGTTAGAAGAAGTAGCCAAAGGTTCTAAAGGACTTAACAGTCTAAGGTGTTTACGATGTTGCGCAAAAGTCTAAAAAACAAGAATATCTTTGCCTCAAAAAACAAAGGGTTAAAATGCGCTGCAGATGTAGAAATTCTTTTAACTGACTACTTCAGCGAAAAACACATGTCATGCCATTCATAGAACAATTTCCTGACATTATTACATCGTGTTGTTATTTGCATTTGCGTTTTGCTTTACTTTGCTTGCTTTTTCCAGAATAGAAGTCGAAAATTGACCAAACTGAAAGTTTAGTGAGGTTCAGAAAGTTTGAAAAGGTTTAGAAAGAAAACTTTCTGTTACTATTATATGTTCTATATATGTAGTAGTAACAACAAATTGGGAAGAACTTAGAATCGGCCGAAAAGATGGGTACTGAAGTGCCGACGCGCATGCGTGTCCGAGTGTCCATTAGGGCCTCAAATTTCTGACGCGCATGCGCGTCAGCCTGCCGTCAACGTGTTAGAAGATCTGTCACGAAGACGGTCAATATCGGGTTAATATCGTGGCTTACAGGTTAACTAGTGCGAGTGCATCTACTGGCTCGTCGCCGAACAAGTAATCGTCAATTGAGTCACATTTGTGATAAAAATTAATAATGTGTCATTTCCCAAACATGTGTCTTCAGCTCAGTTTTCGTTGTATCCGATCTGAGAGTATTTTCCATACTGGTAATTTTTTATGATTTTATTTGCTTAGTGTAATATTACTGTTCCAAAACTATACGTTGTCGACGCAATTCCATTCAGCGGCCTTATTTCGAAATTCTAATAGATCCGCATTTCATCTGCATTTCATCCACTGTCCGTGAGATGTTTTTTCTCATTACCACACGCATTATTTGTATGATGATATAATCATATTGATCAATTTATACGTTTCCAGAATTCACTTGCGATGATCTACGATTTTCCCTGGATTTATTGTAAATATCCTATTTGAATGTTGTTTCCTCGATAAACCGATAAAAAGATTAAGTAAACAGTGTCTATCGCATCTGTTGTTCGGTATGCGCCCCGCATCTTATTACCATTCATAGTTGTAACTGTAATGGCATTTGGTATGTATCCCCTTCAACGCTGTTGCAAAAGATAGTCCCCGACGAGCCTGTTGCATACGACTTCGGGGATATCCCATTGTTGTTTTATACAGCCCCCGAAGATAGGGGAAGATGAGTAGTTTTCTTTAAACTTATTTGTTTTAAACGGTATATTTCTGCGTTTTCGGTGTGTCTTTACTTTTACCTACATACATAATGTAGTCCCTTAATCAGAGCAATCATAGGTGAGGAGACAGAGGAAATTCAATGGGATAATCGTTCCTCTTACCCTGGGGGAAGGATAGCTCCCGGCCCTAAGGGGGTCTTGCATTGGTCAATGTGGTTAAAGGAATCTTCCACGGAAAAACATCGCCTCCATTCCTACAAAAAAAAAGCGATACCTTAGGCCCCTTGCTTCATGAAGATAGCAAAAAGAACGGAAAATGGGCGATGGTTCTGATAATATTTATGATAACCAGTTCGACTCTGAAAATTTTGAATTTCCGCTGTAAAACATCCACAACTGTTAGCGGCGTGGAGTCAACACGTGCAAACGTGTGAAAAGCGTGAACGTGTACTGGATTCGTGTTGGACCCTTCCCGTAAACTGACACGTGGATCCACACCTGCCACGCACTTTGTCACAGAAGCACTTCCGGCCCTGCCCACTGGTCCAGTCCGCTACCACAGATGAGTTTTTGCAAGGGCTGTTTCTTTTAGGGGGTTCATCATTTTCGCTCAGAACTGTGCATATGGTCTCAATGACCATGCCCAACACCTTTACACAAGGAAACGATAAGCAGTCTTTCGGTGGAAGATTCCTTTAATGAGGGTGATGGCGGATATCTTCTGTTGCCTGCATTTGCGTATCCAGCGAGAAGCTTGACATATAAACGACGGTATGAGCACACTGTTGTGCAAAACTTAAGGACGAGATAGATAAATTGTTCTAACTTTTTAGCAATTAGATGGAATTGGATGAAACTGTACGGGCATAATGCTAGAAGCCCTACAGTCATGGGCACCGAAGTGGGCTTCATATGTCTTGCATCCGGCTTCAATCTGGAGCCTAAATGGGGTGGCCACCCAGAACGATGGGTATCGTGGGGCAGGACAAGAGGGGTGAACTAAGCAGGGAGAAGTGACTGTGGAATGTAGTGGTGTTCCTGATTACATCAAGTCTTAGAGACAACACTAGGGTGACTTTACGCGAGGGAATCATTGGGAAACTGAAAAAAGGAAGTTGTGTCCAGGGATTTTGTGTCAACCACAGCATTGTTTTTTGTGCATGAGAAGCAATGAGGATCGCAGCCACTGCTGTCCCAAGAAGAGGAGGTTGTGGATCACGAACAACCGCAGCAGCAGGTGATTGCTAGGTTTTGCTACAGGCAATAATGGACCCACGTGAGTCACATGCTGCAGTTGCAAAAACATTTATCAGGATTGTAAGGCATGTAATCCCAGTCCGGACAGTGGCGCAGTGACCGCATAGGGGTGATCTCTCTCATCGACCAACAATGCCTGTATTCATTTGAAATCCACGCCTCGGCTGGACATTTGGTACGAGCCGAGACATTGGAGATGGACCACCGAATTGAAAAATCGCGTATTCTTCCCGGTCAAGAGCAAACTGAATGTGAGTAGTGATTGGACTTACCTGCATATGGGGGAAAATAGGAACTTGTAATCTACCCAGAACCATCGTTTAACATGATTGTTTTGGTAGTCCATGCGACATAATGTGGGGAGGCATAAAGTTGTCGGGGCGTACTGATCCCCAACTCATGATCGCGTTATACTTTCTGATCAACGTGGTTGTGGTGTTGTACCCTTCTGTCATGTGCATCTTTCCAAGGGTTCCCTTGCCCTCAGCTTCAATCGTATGGAGGGCAGTGTGCGAGAGTATCGAGCAACCTGGGTGGAAAACTCTCGAAAAGTGAATATTTTCGGTAATTGGTGAAGCCTATTTCCTCCAGTCTAATTCTATGGGGCACGTGTGGCGTGGATTCAGATGAGCTATTGTAGCACATGACCATGTGCCAACAATAGTCCTGCAGTTGTCAATGTCTTCAAGGAATCGGTCACTTCTCCTCAAAAACTCTTAACTAATCTTACGGCCTGTATGGGAACACGTAGCAGAGCATACTTTGCAGTCAGTAGTGTTCATACACCCCATCAAGAACCAGCTCCTCTCTTCTGAATGTCTACCATGAGTTGGAGAAGCCTCACCTATCGACCGCTTCAGACAGGATATTTGCAGAAAAAATGTCTTTTCCAACCGCCTCTTTGCGCTTTTCTTTAGTAACTCTCTGCACTGTACCATAACATTTACTTCTATATATGTGCCAAATTTGGTCCACCTAGGTTAACTAGCAGTGAGATATCATGTGAAAGTTACTCCCGTCTTTAAGTTTCGCACACCAGTGTACATCAATCGATCGCCGTGTCCAGTTTGGAGAAATGAGAAATGAAAGTTTCGAGGAATGAGCATGGTACGCACTTATGAATCACTCTTCCACAATTCTTGGGTCTGGAAGTGAGCGCTGCTTGCAATCGCTTGAGTTAAAATCCTGTAGCACAGATCTCTCATCGCCTCCCCTCACTTGGCTATACACATTTTCAGGAGAGGGTGATGTGAGCGATTGGAAAACGTCAAAAAAATGTAAAGAGGGAAAAGGAAGGTGGGCTAGACGCGGGAGAGCGAGAGGCCATAGTTCCTGTTTGTCCGCTTGTTCATCCTCAAATTGCTGTGTGAAGTTATCTCACTGATATTATTTACCTTTCATATCAAAACAAAATGATACAAGTTACTGCGTAAAGACTCCCTGGTTGTCCAAGGCTTCGATGATCGCTTCTGTCTCTGCAGAATCGAAGGCTTTCTTCAAGTCGATGAACGTAAGACAGAGCGGCAACTTGTACTCACGTGGAACTTCATTGAGTCTCGTAACCGTGTGGATGTGGTCAATCGTGCTGAACCCTCTTCGGAACCTTGCTCGCACGGCTGTCTTTCGTCCAGTATTGTGACAATCCTGTTGAGGATGACTCGAGTGAATACTTTACAGATTACAGACAGCAGGCAGATTAGGCAATAATTGCCATTGTCGTCCAAGTTCCCTTCTTGTACAGCAACACAATCCTGCTGATTTTCCACGGAGTGGGTACCTTGCATTCGACAGGTAGCGCGTGAAGAGTCGAGCCAGAGTTTTGATGATAAGTGGCGGCGCATTATTCAAATGTTCCGGTTTGACCCTGCCGAGACCTGTGCTGTACGGTTCTTCACAGACTGGATGGCGCCTTGGACTTCGGAAGAAAGAATTGAGGGGCAGTTGATAAGTAGGCAGATGGACATGGCTATCGAAGAGATCCAAGTAGAAGTCATGAATGACTTTCTCCATTGCCCTTCGGGATGCACCAACTGTTCCATCCGGATGTCCGAGGCAGGTCTTGTAGGCCGTGTCATAGTTTGCGAATCGAGCGATTCGCTAGCGAATTGCTCGATTCGCAAACTATGACATCGGCCGTAGCCGGCATACTGCGGGTGTTGCGGATGCTCCTCCCAGCCTCTGCTGCTTCAGCTAATCCTGTTGCTTTTGCGCTCCTTGAAAATTTCCTTTATCGCCTCTGTGCATAGCTTCGCATGCTCGGACGTGTCGGGGGTTGCCTGCAGCTCGTGCGGCTCCAACCTGCTGTACAATTCGAGTTTCCGGAGACAGACGTCCCTCAGTGACTTCCATACTCCTTCTTTCCGCTATCGTAAAGATGGTCAACGAGCCGATAGTACTCCTCGTGGATGTTTTCGATAACGGAATCCCCCATAAGCTGACGAGGGAATCGAAGTGGTCCTAGTTGATGACCGTCCTGGGACTTCGCTTCCTGAATTTTGCTGCTCTCTTAACACGCATCGTGAAGTGGAATCTTGCGCGGAGGAGACGTTGTTCCGATTCCGTGTAGAACTTCGGAACAACAGCAGCGTCGGTCAGGCAAAACCTTCGAATAAAGATGATGTGGTTTATCTCGTTATGGAACTGTCCATCAGGTGACTCACAAGTCCAACGAAGATGGGAGGGATTTTGGAACTGTGAGCTACAAATCCATTCCGTGATACCAACAGAGTTCTTCAGCCGTTCTTCTTGGGCCAATCATAGCGTTGAGGTCGCCGACGATGACCTTAAAGAAGGTAAGTTCTTCCCTGTAGAACTTCTTCAATTCCATATAGAATGCTTCATGTTCCTCTTCGTAACTGGATGTTGGTGCGTAGTCGTCGAAGATTGTCAGAGCGGAGTTGAACCACATCTTCTCAATCTCAAACGTCCGATTCGGGTCGTTAGGCTTTCGTACGAATCAGTGTTTATGGCCAAGTAGTGGCGGTGTCCGTTCCTCCAAGGGGTGTCACTGGGAACTGCTCACTTTGTGGGCTGAGCTGAACACGGACATTCGAATGCAGGTGACAGGCCCTCGTGACAGGCCGGCCTACGAACACCCACGTCACATCACAAATGTTAATGTCGCCATATGAATGTCGAG